AAACAATATTACATTTCATTGCCAAGTTTGCTGAAGTCAGTATGCAGGTGGTCTACAAAACAACAGAAATGTATTAATGAAAAGGGGGTCACAGGTTGACAAGACTAAATCCCAACTAAAAAATTAATACATTTACCACAAATACTCCCTGGCCAGTTTATCAGAAACCCCATATCATGCCGATATACACTTTTAGCCTATTTGTTGATGCAGAATTTTTGTTAGCCATCCTTTAACTACCACTGCTGTGCTGAGAATAGTTCACTGTCTAAATATTCTGGTCAACAGTGGGTGGATGATAAGTTAAACAACAGATGTATAGTGATGTGTTGTTCATGAACAAAGTGCTGTTGACTCACAGTAAGAAGGGTTTGGGTTCGATTCCCGGACAGGCGACCAGGGTCCTTTCTGTGTGAAATTTATATGTTCTCCCCGTATCTGCGTGGGTTTCCCATGTGTACTCCGGTTTCCTCCCACAGTCCAAAGACATGCAGTCAGGTCAATTGGACATGCTAAATTGCCCCTAGGTGTGAGTGTGCATGTGAATGTATATGTCTGTTTGTCTGCCCTGTGATAGACTGGTGACCTGTCCAGGGCGTATCCTGCCATGACAGCTGGGGTAGGCTCCAGCACCCCCTGCGACCCAGAAGGATAAGCGGTTTAGAAAATGTGTGTGGGCGCCGACTTGTATTAAGATGACATTTTTTGGGGGGTGGGGGTGTTAAATTGACACAAAACAAATAAATCTGCTCTCTTATTATCCCTAATACCTACTTTTGTGTTAATTAGTTCTTGGCTGTGTGTCCAAGTATGCCTCACTAAAGTCTGATTTTTGACTATGACTTGCTTGTTTGTTGATGACTGGATGATGGTTTTGCCTGCATTTTTCTTGTCTGCTTGTCTTGTGAGTCCTGCTTCTAAAAATTCATCCAGTCAAACTATTTATCAAAATCTAACTTATTTTGTTTTATAAAAAAACATAACAAATTGAGCAATAACTAACAAGTTTAAGAAACTGAAAATGTTAAGAATCTGTCCAGGTAAAGGTTTAAGACTATACATAATTTACTTTTCTTTTATTTTCTCTTCACAGTGTGGACCTGAAAGTTCTGGAGAGGTTCTGAATGGAGGAATGGTGTCAGATCCTTTGCTATGTCTTCTCCAATCTCATTAAGCATTATCAGATAAGACTCAGCGCTGTTATCTTTGCAAAGGGAGGCTGTACACAGTATTAAATAAGGGGTGTCAACAATTGTGGCACACACAGATTTGAGAAAAATATTTACCATTACCAGGGGTGCCAATATTTGTGGAGGGCACTGTATATAGTGGACCTTATAAAGCAGGTGGAGCTTATAAAATGTCCAGTAAGTGAAAGTACAAGGTGGGTGGTTCTAATAAAGTGGATGGTGATCTAAGTGTACTAAGTTTCTGTCCAGCAGATGGCATTACAGCTCTGAGCCAGTAAGTACTGTATGTCATATTTGTCCAGCTGATTAGAAGGTATTTTTCAGACTGATTGCTAAGGACTGCTACTGAAAATAACCCACATGGTTAACAGTGGCAACATTTGGCTTCATTAGGAAATTATTCATCACATCAAAAATATTACATTTCTTATGGAGTCCCACAAGGTTCAATTTTAAGGTCCTTGCATCTATTTTTGTGTATGTCATAGGAAACATGTCGTCAATATTCAATGCTACTTTCATTTCCATTCCTCCTGAACTACTATTTCCATTCCTCTGTTGCCAAGCTTAAAATTGTATACAATTGAATAAAAAATGTCAATACTGATTTTTTTTCTCTGATTCAGAGAATTTGAGAAAAACTAGGCTTCATATACTAGACCTGAAGTAGGAAACCTGGGCGTAATCTTAGTCTCACATGTAAATGCAGTTACTTAAGTTTATTTTCACTATTTGAGACGTTTTGCTAAATTTAAAACGTGTATGTAATGATGATGAAAAAAACTAGTCCTTGTATTTGTTACAAGCAGAATTGATTACTGTAGTGCACTTGCAGCTGCAAGTGGTCGTCCAGCCATCACCGTGATACAGCTGTGCCTGGCCCTGCAGTGGAAAGCACTACAGGTGTTTGTAGACCTGCCAGTGGAGCAACACGACGACCTAGTGGTGTTGACCACAGATCTCCAGCGGTGGTTCGGGCAGATGCCGGCGGCACTGTCAGTCAGGAGGCTGTTCCTAGTCAAACGGAGGCTAAAAGAAGAGCAGCTGAAGGAGCTGCAGGGCTACCCAGGGTTTAGAAGGCCTACCTCTGGTACGAGAAGGCTATGCAGAAAAAGTTGGCACTGGAGCACTTCCTAAACAAGCTGCTGGCAGAAGAGCTGAGATGGCACGTGCAGTTCGTCATGCTGATCAGCCTCCGAGCAGCTGCTGCCCAAGCAGAAAGGGTAGAACCTGTCCTCCCACGGAGAGGATGCCCATGGAGCTTGTGTTCGGTCGCTCGCCCGGGGCAGAGGAGGCACAATGGATGCAACCCCCAGGAGAGCACTGAGAGCACGCCGCTGCTGAAGAGCAGGCATCCCGCAGCACTTGTGCAGGCCAAACTTTAAACATTATAGGGACTTTGTTCTGACTGTGTGGATTGATGGGATGTTGGACCCGTGTGCCGTCTCCCACAGTCTCCATGCAGCCGTGAGGAGCTTAGGGGGTGTGGCCATTCGAAGTGGCTCTCAGAGTCCAGTTGAAAAGGTCAGTTTGTTGTTGTTGTTGGTGCTGGGTGGGTTAGTCTGTAATTAATTAGTGTAATTGTAACCGAAGATGGTGGATTACAGTGTGTTGGAAGAATCTAGCCTCCTCAGAAGTCGTGTCCTCCCCCTCCCCATGTTGAGTTAGTGCTGGGCTGTATGTTGAAGTGCCAGTTCAAAATAAAAGAGCGTTCGCCTGTACGCACTGTTTTCCGCATCTTCTTCTATGCCACTGCTACAGCATTTCTGTTATTATCTGAACTCTTCCACTTTACACAGTCAAGCTTGTTACACACTTTTAAGAAAGATCTGAAAATGTATCTCTTTAATTTAGATTTTAACTAAAGTTTTTCCTTCCTTTTTTACATTTATCTTTTTAATTTAATCTATGTTACTGTCTCAGTTTGTTGTAGTTAATGCTATTAACCTTTACTTTTCCAAATTTATTTTCATTTATTGTGGTTATTGAATAGTAACAAAAGAAAATCACTTAATAAATTTTTTATCTTTTATTATTGGAACTGCACTTTATCACCTGTCTGTAAAGCATTTTGAGCTGCTACCTGAAGAAAATAGCACTTATTAGTAGTAGTAGTAGTAATATTTTACATGTTTTATAAATTAATGATGACAGTGCCTCACATTTATTACATCTATTTATTTAAATGTAAGAAACAAAACTGAGTTTCCATTTATTATGAACATTTCTGCCAGTACAGAATCTAACTGTGCTGCATGCAGTTTACATACAGCTGCTGTGTTCTCAAAGCTTTTTAATAGCTCACAGTTAGTTGGCTCTTACTGACTTGTGATGTGTGAGTGTGACATAGTGCAAGCAAAGGTGGATCAAATATTCATAGCTTATAACAATTTAAAGGCTGTGCCTGCTCTTTCTGTGGGTGGGGGGTCTCTGAAGTGTTAGCAGTGGTTCTAAGAGTGCTGGGAATTATTCATACGCATTCCTGTGAACAGAAGCATGAAATTTTCAGTGACACACACACACACACACAGTGGGCAGGTCTACAATTAGGCTTGTTTCAAAAAGAGAGAAATAACAGTACAAAAACTCATACTGTACTTCAACTATTATCAAAAAAACACTCACACAAACAAACATAAAACACTGCGCAAACGTCAGAGACCAGGCTTTATTTAGTTTTTCTCTTTTTTTCCGGTCAAAACAGCCATGTAAGCACGAGCCATTCATTTTTCAGCATCAGGAAAAAAAGCTGAAAATATATTTAACAAAAACTTACACAGAAGCCTCAACAACTAAATAATATATCAAATCTATCAGTATTTAGCCTGTCCACTCTTTGTTGTGTCGTCCATTCTCTTTGGGAAACTCGCTTTCAGTAGTTGAGAGAAATCTACATGTGTCTTCTGAGTATGTAATGTTAATAAAGGTAAAAAAAGTTTGTTGTCTGATGTTTATAGGCTTTTGTAATATTAATGATGGTAAATCACTGGTAAAACTGGAAAAATTACTTCTCTTTGTGGTCTTTCGGTGTTTCTAGTGCAAATTTTCTTCTTTTTGTCTATTTCTTTTTCTCAGTAAGAGCTTCTTGATAACTAAACATCCTTTCAGACTCACAGTGTTGAGTTGTCTTCTCACAGTGGAAGGATGGACAGAAACACCTGTGGATTTTTTCAGATATAAAGCAATAGTGGAGCTTGATTTTCTCCCCTCTCTCAAAGATTAAAGCTTTACAATGGTTCCTATTACCACCACTATATGGAATTTTTTAAAAATATAGGTGGAATTCCCCTTCAATGGCTGTTTTGACTGGGAAAAAAACAAAAGGTGGTCTCCGACTTGCACAGTACTGTACACAAGTTGAATATTTCATTTCTATGACCCCCTCCTTCCTTCCACACACACACACACACACCTTTAAGCCACTCCACAGAGCTGAGAGCTCCACGGTAACTCAAATGTTGTCACGGTAACAGAGGTGGTCTGTGTGTGAGATGTGATTGGTGTGTTGATAGCCAATGTAAGTCGTGAATAAACGATGCACTGTACAGTAGTAAACCTCTCACTGTGCTGGGATCAAAATCCTGTCCAAAGGAAATCCTTTCTCTTTTTAATGATTAAGCCCTAATATTAGAAAAATTAAAATGATCCACATGCCTGAAATATACATTTCTTTCCCCTGACAGCTGGGGGGCAGGGTGTGGAGACAGCAGTGTTTCTAAGCACTTGGCGCATCGTGTGTAATCCTCTCTGATGTCACGCTGGTGAAGGAGGGGCCGGAGCGCGCGCTGCCCTAATCCGCGCTGATAAGAGGGACACGGGGACGAGCAGAGATGGTGAGGGCGAACAGGCGGGTCCTTCATCCATCCGTCTCTTAAACAGGTAAGGCAGCGCTCCCACTTCTCCTGGCTCTAGAATATAATATTGTATTTTAAAAACAGCAGGTCAGTTCTGACTTCAAACAACGGAGAAAAATGACCGCGCCGTAGGCGTACCTGCCGGGTAAGTCCATTAGCAATGGAGGGACGTTTTAGGCTGCGTCCCAATATGCGTCGCTGCGCTCTAACTAGAACGCTTAGCTTGGTTGTAACCGCTTGCTTTGTCAAGCGCTTTTTACCTACTTGTGCTCTAACTAGGGTGCTTAGCTAGAGCCGACTTGTGTTTTAACCAGAACGACTGTGTTCTAGAATTCTATCGCGAGCGTGCTAGTTCTGAAGGGGAATTCCACCGGTTTTTCAAAATTTCTGCATACTTCTGTGGAGTCAGTGTTTTGATATGAAATGGATCACTGTAGAAAAGCTTACCGACTTGGATTTCTTTACAGTGGTGGTGATAGGAACCATCTGGGGTCATCACAACACAAATACAGCCATTTGATTTACTGTCCTTAACCACCATCGAGCGTATAACGTTATGTGTCTTCTGAGATTTTATATGTAATGTTGATGAATGTAAAATACTAAATTAAGTGGTAAATCTGGGAGAAAAGTTTGTTGTCTGATTTATTTATAGGCTTATGTAATGTTAAGGATGGTAAAGCACTGGTAAAACTGGAAAAAATAGTTCTCTTTGACCAGTTTGCCTTACAATGCCCTGTGTGCACCACTCCGCCATGTAAAAAATAAGCTCGAGCCTAAAAACATATCTCAAAACTATCATAAAACATCGTCTCCGACATCAGGCAGCATATTCATAACCATTTCATGTGATAACTTTCTGTGATGTAGCTAGCTTGGTCTGGTTCCTATCACCAACACTGTGAACTGTTCTGACTTTAAGATTCTCTAGAACTGAGCATTTCACATCAAACCACACTGAACATTTAATTATAGAGACATTCTGAAAATTAGTGGAATTCCCCTTTAACTAAGCTAAGCATACGCCCTAGCTAAGCGCTCTAGAAGACGAGTGGGCATATTGGGACGCAGCCTCTGCGCAGGCCACTGTGCTCGGACACGAGGTTAGGCTTTAAGTGCTTAGCTCAAATTGTATCGCTAGGAAATGAAATTCGTCTGAAAGTTTTAGTCGTGCCTTTCTGGAACATGTCAGCGTTTCTCTAGCAAAAAACAGCTCTGCGAATTTGAACATATGGCCACAAAACTTCAGAGGCGACAGCCTCCCACTGTGTGGGCAGAGCAGAAATGTTCAAGCAGATAACAGGCGCTGCACAGCCTACCTGCCTGCTGCCGAGCGGCCAATGGACGCTGCGCTAGACCCTTTCCCTCAGTCCGGTTGTTCACTGTAAGTAAGCCGTTGTCTGGACTAATTTTGTCCGGTTTTCTGTGTTTTTTTACTCACGACAGACGACAGTGAAGTTGTTCGCCACCTTCTTATTTAACCTTCCGTTCCACCTTAAATGATGCGGCAGTACGTGCAGGCGCGTGTTCATGCACCATAATGTAACTGCTGCACCATTTAAGGTGGAACCAAAAATTCAAATAAGAAGCGAACTTAAGCTTTGTCCACGACAGTGTAACCTCTTCAGGTGGTCACACCGGCTAACAGGGATGGGTTTAATTCCATAGTAATGGCAGCTGATACATGGTTTCCTCACAAAATCCGCTCAAAAAGTCTCCACTTTGCTAATTATGCTATATTATCTTACAGTGGCTTACATTCATTAGATTAATCGACGACTCACAAAACTACGAAAATATCAAGGCACGAAATACGCCGGATCTACTTCTCATGCTGCCTACTCGCTTGATTTCCTGCTATCTTGGGGTCAGTTTGACCCCATTCAGTGTTTAACGTCTCTCATTTTTTTTTGCAAAGTAGCAAAGTAAACATACTGACACATAAACCTGGATAATAATTTTAAATATAATAATTTTGTGGAGGTTTCCATTGCTGTGGTCAGATTGACCCCAAGGCTAAAGAAAGTGTATTTGAAGATGTCTTTGCTAACGTTAAGCCATTTCTTCACTGGACTAAGACTACAATTAGACATGGCTTCTGGTGTAAACACTGTACATCTGGGCATTAAACAGACTGCAGAAAGAGAAAAGGTTTATCGTGATGCCAAACGGAAGGAGGGGTGGGGTTAGCTGAAGATCCCTGAGTTAATGGTGAAGCAAATCCCCTGCCTGCGGGGTTTCGCTGGAGGCACGACAGATGGACGTGCTGAGCTCCATGCCAGTCGATGCGGGAGTGTGGCTGAGGCCCACTGTGGCCATCTGTGGCTGGGCTGTGGCCCATCATCCTGCACTCAGTCTCCTGGAAGATGGGAGATGGACACAGACTGATTCCTCACACCTGTCTGGAGCTGACAGTCCAGTAGATCAGGGACATCATTGTGTACTATTTTGAGTGTGGCATAGTAGATCTACGCTGTTGTGTAACAGCTTCCCTGGTTTATTTTATTGATTTTGTTGTGCTTGAAAACATTGACAAGACATTATTTGAAGGCTATCTAGGACTTCATGACGCTTGCACAAGCACTGAATATTTGAGTATTTGTGAAAAGGCATGTACCAGTAATTGCAAGATAACATGTATTATGAAGTAAATAACATTGTATTGATATAAGGGGCCGTAAACAGAAATGACAGAATTTATGACGCTGCTATGAAGCATCATTACCTTAAACTGAAGCGTAACACTTTTTTGAAGCCTACATAGACTTCATAACATATACATAAGCATTAATAAAGCCATACTTAAGTGTTTATGCCAGTAACAGCAGAATGACATGAGATGTTTTAGGAAGTAAGTTATGTTTATTGACATAAGAGGCCTTAAACTAAAGTGACAGCCATTTCTTTCATTTATAACACTGTTATGAAACATTATTCCCATATAACGAAACTTATAAGACAGAGGCCTAATTATGAGCACCATGTTGGTTCTGCATGTTTGAGTTTAAGTGCAAAAGTACAATTTGTAGTAAGGAGACAAAAGTGGTTGCAGATGCATAACAGCTCACAGTACTGGGGAATGATGCTTCATAACAGTAAATCAGACACATTTCTGTGACTTTAGTTTAAATCCCTTTTAAACTAAATTTCTTGTGTCATCTTGGGATTACTGGCATGATCTGGGAAAAAATATTGCTTTATCACTATGTTATATATATGTTATTCAGTGCTCAAGTATGTGTTATGAAGTCCCTATATGAATAGACATTACCTGTTGACATTTTTGATTTATAACACTGTAATAAAACATTCCCTAGTAGTGGCACTTAACTGACATTTTACTTAACAAAACATTTCATGTTTCAAAGCCTAAAATTTTTAGGGGTTAAACAGCAGCAACTGAGCTTATGAAGTCAGCTTAACCATCTATGCTGTTTTCACGTCCTGTACGTCTCATGCTTAGCTTTGCTATGCGCTTTGTCCCACATAACATTCATTTTTGTGATGCTGAAACCATGATAATTCACCTCATTCTTACCCCCCTCCTGGCGGGTCTCTGTTACGTCTGTGTATTGTCTCCTGTCCTGCCGTCTGCCAGCTGTTCATGGGCCGGAGGAAATGATGGAGATTAACCATCTCGTTCCTCTGAGATCGTGCCCTTATCCCTAAAGTGCACAAAAAGAGCCCAGTGCAGTGTCAGTGCCTCATATTAAAAAACGTACTTAAAAAGTGGTGAGAGGACAGTTGGCCTGTGGTTATTTCTGTTTCATGTAGATTGTTAACACACTATATAATGAAGTACATTGTGAGGTACATTTTAAGGTAATAAAGGTAGGATTTTGATTAGGGTCAGGATTAAGCTTAGGTTATTAGTTGGAAGTCAGGCTAGCAGGGCTAGCATTAAACTTTTAAATCTTTTGTTGGTCATGGTGTAGCAGCTATGTAGTCACTGCTCTTTTTGAAGTTCCTTCATCAATTAGGCAAAGGGTGGGTGAGTAACAAGGTAGCTGACCATTAGGAACCAGAGGCCTCTACAAGCTACATCACAAAAAGTTACTGCACGAAATTATAAAACATTGTATTACAATACTTTTGTGATAAGGTTTTGGCCTAATATGTTTTTGTAAACACATTCATGGCAGAGAGCTACATGCAGGGTATTATGAGGCAAAATAGGACCCGAAGAAGACTTATTTTTTCAGATTTACTGCTCTTTTACTATTATCGACACATAAAGCAGAAGACTTCATTGTCATTTTAGATAGTAAATAAAATGGTTATATTACAGTATAGGTGATAGATATTGTGACCTCTGGTTTCTTCATCAGTGTAAAGCAACCTGAGTGAATAAGTGTCTCTACAATAAACCATTAGACATTAAAACCCTTTGAATGCCTTTGTTCACATCTCAATGATTAACTTATGCATTTTAAAAAATTGGTGAAATTCTCATTTAAAGAACAACACTAGACTAATAATAATAAAAGTAATAATATAATAATCATTAGTTGTTACGCCTATATTACTTGTGTTTAAAGTATACAGTACTGACATTTATGTCTTTTGATTTACGTTTTCCTACAGTCTGAGTTTAGTTTATTATATTCAATTTGTCAGGGAACAGTAAGCTACTAGCTTATTTACATCTGCTGACCACAGCTGATCTTCCCATCAGGCTGTACAGCAGCGTCCAGGTCATGTCCACTCTGTCACAGCAGCCATGAGTCACAGGGAGGAGCCAGAGGAGGCGAGGTCTCAAGCCCCACCACCTCATCGCGGTCGGCAGCCTAATGGGACGCCCTTAGATGGAGGAGGCCGTCCCAGGTGGAGGCCGTGCCAGCTGAACAGCCAGGATGCACAGGGGAATGCCCATCATCACCACCACCATCACTACCACCAACAGTCCCACCAACACCAATCTGGGTCTACCCGGGCACCACCACGCCATCGCAGGAGACATGTCCCGGGCCAGGCCCAGCGGAGGGTGAGCGAGAGCGGAGATGCCGAGCCACGGCAAGGCCAGCAGCTCCGTCCAGGGGTGGCCAGGTACCGGCGGAGTGGGGAGAGGGGTCATCATCAGCATAGAAGCAAACCACAACCCAGAGAGGGTAATGGAGGTACAGCAGTGCAGCAGCCACTTGATGTTCCGGAGACGGATCAGGCAGTGGATGCTTTATCTCCTGAGGAATCTTCACAGGAATTGCTAAGCCCTTCTTCACAGGAGCTGCTGACTCCTTCTTCACAAGAGGTACTGACACCTTCTTCACAGGAGGATCTAACTCCATCACAAGAGGAGCTAACTCCCTCTCCACAGGAGGCACCAGTCGTTGAGGAGCAAGATGGAAGCAGCCCAGGCCTACACTGTTCCTCCAGTACCGAGAGCAGCCTCCACACCCACACAGAGCAGACTGAGGACCTTCAGGGAGAGAGGGAGCAGGCGGAGGAATGTGAAGGAGGTGGAGATGAACAAGAAGTGGAGAATAATCAAGAAAAGACAGAGGAAGAGATAGATTCTCATGAACATGAGCAACCATTTCAAGAAAATAAGGACTGCTTAGCAGCCAGTGGTGGATCAAAAGATAACTTCCGCTCTCACAGCAGGAGGGCTGGACCCATAAGAGTGGACGTGCCACCCTTTGCTGCGATCCCTCTTCAACCATTAGCCATGCCTCATTTCCAGCCTCAGCCTTTCTCTGAACCCCTCAGGAGTTACACCATGGAGCCCAAAGCAGGCACTACCCATTCCAGCCCAACCGGCAAAACTCCAGTCAGCACAGACGCAAAGCTTGAATGTCGATCTCGAGCTCACTCCTATGAAGAACCTCTTCCAGATTCCAGTCAAGAAGCCTACTCTTATTCCTACCAACAACCAAACTCTGAATCCTACCAGATGACTCCAGCAGAGTCATGCCGAGAATCATACCTCACAGAATGCTGCCAGGAGCACTCTGAAGAACAGCAGACCATTGAGAACAACCAGAATGTGTCCTCCATTGAGCCTAAACCCAAGTTCAGTCCACAAGAGGAGGCCAGACAGCTGGTTTCAGTTGGCTCCAGGCTGCACCACTATGATGAACAATCTGGAGACGAAGGTAGCAGCCCAGATAGAGGCAGCGTCCGGGTCAGGAACCACACAAGCTCCAATAGTAGTTTTGAAGAACTTCAAGAGCTTCAGAAAGAACAGCCTCAGATTGCTTCACCTTCACCTACCTTGGATAAAAAAGATTTCGTTGAGGAAAGGCCACCTGTGGCTCAAAGCCCAGTGCAAGGGTCCTCAAGGATCTCTGGAGATGCCATCTCTCTGGCAATAAAGGACATCAAGGAGGCCATCGAGGAGGTCAAGACTAAGACAGTGCGTTCTCCTTACACACCCGACAAACCCAAAGAACCGGTGTGGGTGATGAGACGAGACGTCAGCCCGGTGGAGGAGTGCCACCCACAGCTCTATTCACCATCTCAGCTTTCTTCTCCACAGTACAAGGTGAGTGACTGCCTGCATTTATATTAAAGTCAGTGCTTTGTGTCATCCTCATCTTAGGTTATCCCTGTTTAGTTAAAAATAACACTGCACGGTGAAGCTACTGAGCAAGACATATTAAAACGTCAACCACTAATACTGCATCTGCCACTTTGTCGTTTTCTCAGGCTCCGGTCGCAGATCCCATAGCCCCTCTGGGAGCGGAATCTTCCAGAACACATCAGTACCAGGATTTAGATGTCATTCCCAGTTTACCACCTGCTGAGGAGGTGAATTATTAATTTATAAATGATTTTAAGTACATTTTAACTGCATTTATATAGATTTACAGAAGTTGTGACAATGTCTTTTTTTGCACATATAGCTTAGGCGAAATTTGGCTGCCTTTCCTACATACGTTGATGGTGAGTTTCAGTGTCATTCTAATCTAGTGAGGATTTAGCAAGATTTGCCATATAAGTGTATAGTACTTACATTTTATATGTTATACATATAAATAATATATGTAACTGTAATTGTGGTTTTTGCCAGTTCCAGGACCGTGTGATCCAGAGGATTTAATTGATGGCATCATATTTGCGGCTAGTTACCTGGGCTCCACTCAGCTGCTGTCAGAGCGAACGCCCACGAAGAGTGCCCGCATGCAGCAGGCCCAGGAGGCCATGAACCGTGTCCGGGTGAGTGCCAGCTGATAGGGCTATCAGGTCTTGCGTGGTTGTTAGGAGCAGAGTGTTCTCTGTATCTTTTAATCTTAGAGAACCCCAGTCCTTATGCAAGTGTATGTCTCACACCTAATTTCTTCTGAAATATCATCTGAAAACCAATTAATGTGTACTTTATGGCCATTTTAAATGGAAGCTAAAGTGATAAAGTTTGGTCTCTGACTTTTGCACAGTACTGTACATAGTTGAGATGATACTCATTGTTGAGATGAGCAAAATAAAAAAAATCTTCTCCTCAAATGACATATTTTGAACTGGGATGGTTGTGGGATGTTCTTACTAATTGATAATGAAATAAAGAGGGCATTGTGTTTGGTTTTCATATTCAAAGCTGACAGTTATCAGACCTGGAGGACACTCAGGCCCAGTCCCTTATTCCTGAATGAAAGCTTAATGAGTCCTGATGAGTGCTGATTTTGTGGTAATGTATGTGCTGGAGGTTATCTGAGGTTTCTCAAACAGAAGAGGTTCATCTTTTTTCAGTAAAGCAGTGGGCACAACAAACAAATATGAGTGACAAACAGTTGATATTTGGAGACAGTTTTGCTCCTCGGGGCTGCTGATGTCACTCCAATAAAGTGAGGGCATGTTGATAGCGTTTCGTACGAAGCCTTACCCTATCACAGTGTGAGAGATTCCTCACCATGACAACCCGCCCACCCTGTCCCCCCTTTAGCCAAACTATCCCATAATATCACATTTGGAATAACCAATCGCTCCTTAGCCAATCACATAGAGTCTCTCACGGCCCCCCACCGTGTCACTTTGAATTTTGTGGGCTTCTTCTGACCCACTCTCTTTTTCTTTGTTCCTCGGTGAACAGGCAGCCCAGAAACAGGCCCAAAACAGACAAAAGGTACAGTATAATGTTAATGTTGGAGGCGTAGGTGTACTGTAGGTAGTAGTCATCTGTGTCCAATGTGAAGTGATTACTTTTGTATTTTAGTGAGTGATTTTTGTCTCACGTCGGATGTTCCCGAACTTTGTCGGAACTGCTAGATGAAATAGACGGGATTAGCAGCGGCAGGAATATTAAAAAGAAAACCTGCCCCTTGCTCTGTACACTCTGTCCAGATGTTTTGTATTTAGCTGGTCCTTTGTCATTCCAATGTGTGTCTTTGTTGATGTTGGCTTTGAATATCTGGATAGTTTTGTACAATAAAAATGACTTTGTTTGCTGTGGTGTCAGCAGGGGGCTGAGGGCGAGGCTCCATCTGCCATTGAGGTGGACCTTTTCATGTCCACTCAGAGGATTAAAGTGCTCAACGCTGACACACAGGTGAGTAACATGCTGTCATTCTCTCTCTCTCACTCTCTCTTTCTCTCTCTCTCTCTCTGTGTTTCTCTTTCTCTCTTTCTCTCTCTCTCTTTGTTTCTCCCTTTCTATCTGTCCCTAAAGTAGAAGGTTCCTGTTCCTTTATCCTCCTCCAAAGGTTTGTTAGTCTCTTTTTTAGTTCACTTAAAATACACAAAATACTGATGTTGATATTATATTGCTGCAGTTGTACGCAAAAGTTTAGGCACCCCTGGTCAAATTCCATGTTTTGTTGATTTTCTAAGTGAAAATAAGATAACACATCCTCTACAGAGAGCACATTTTAATGCACAATTACTGTTTATTTACTGGATTTAACATATTGATGCCCTGTGTAAAAGTTATGACACATTTTATATTTTATGTTTGATTTTTTTCCAATATTTTAAACTCTATTGTGCACTAAAAATTGCAGAAAAATGCCATATTTAAGTGTTTTTTCTTAAATTCTGACTTAAATTAAATCTTAAATTTTCTCTCTGCTAGTCTTGGTTTCAGCTGTAATTATCTTGGCTGTTACACAATGTCTATACTATTTTCATTTTGATTTATTTTATTTGCCATAACATGACCTAAGTTCATTATATTACCTTGTTAGCTATTGGCCATTTTACTCCAGTGTGTCTTCTACAAAGCTTCAAATGCAATAAATGTCTTTATTGAAAACAAACTTTATTTCTCTATTTAAAGCCCCTTTTTAAACAATCCTGACCCTCTCATCCAGTTGTTAGTGTCCCATCTGCCCTCTCTCACTGTGGAGATTGATCAGATTCTCTCTCTCTCTCTCTTTCTCTCTCTCTGAAGATGATGAGTTAACTTATTTCTACTTAGAAAATTCCACTTACAAAATGTGTAATTTGACCGAGGGTGCTAAAACGTTTGCACACGACTGTGTGTATTGTGATTAATAATAATAATAATAATAATAATAATAATTTATATAGCACATTTCATTTTAGTTATACAACCAAGCTTTACACAGGAATGTAAGCAAAACATTGGGAAGATATTTGTTGCCACAAAATAAAAAAAACTTAATGCTAATAATGAGTAAAAGGTAAATGGGACCAGCTAGTTCACAGTCATGCGAATGAATTCATGCTCATTAGTCTGTTTGCCATTTGGCAGTTTTAGCTGAACTGTTCTTGACTCATAGTTATATGACTCATAGTATCTTTGTTTTGCAGGAGACCATGATGGACCATCCTCTGAGGACCATCTCATACATAGCGGACATTGGGAACATGGTGGTCCTGATGGCTCGCAGGAAGATGGTCAGGTCCCGCAGCACTCAGGAGCACCTGGACACAGCAGACGTTCATCACTCAAACCCAGCACGGGACGAGCGCCATCAGTACAGGATGGTCTGCCATGTCTTTGAGTCAGAGGACGTGAGTACAGCTTTGGTGCTCTTAGATAATTTTTACTTCAGTTTTGCTACACTTTTAAATGTAATTACACAATTACATTATTAGTCACATAGTTAACAGAAAATCATGCAGAAGCCTCAACAACTAACTATAGTTTAGCATTTAGTATTTCACTATTTATCTTTGTGACAGCTTCCAGTGTTTTCAGGAGACTTGTCTTTGGTTATTCAAAGAAATATATTCCACGCCTCCAAAGTTCAGTTTTAGAAGTTGCTTGCAGTTTCGGCTTTTTATAATTCAAAGCATCCCAATTATAAATTTAGACTCATCCATAAAACCTCACTCCACATCTCACATTAAGTTTCGGTGTTCTTGATAGCTTACGAACACAAATGTAGTTTGGATTGAAAGCTTAGAATTTGCACTTTCAACCAAATTTCTCAAGTTTTTTTCAAAGAATGAAATTTGAAATAATTACACGTTCCTTTTGTTTTCACTGGTAATAACAGAATCTCTTATTCCCTTGCTGTAAACTGGTGAAATTCGCTGTGGGTTGTGTGGATTGAAACTGATAGTTGGCTTTCACCACAAATCGCAGTGAAAGCTTTAATTGGTTGCAGTGATCTTCTGTTTTATTTGATTTATGACATTAGAAAAGTGTTCAGAAGTGGAATGACTAATTCTAACTTGCTCATATTGAAACCTATTTCTTTTTAACCCTCAATTTTTGCTTGAGACTTAAATTCTAATTAAATTCTGACTTAAATTAAATCTTAAATTTTCTCTCTGCTAGTCTTGGTTTCAGTTGTAATTATCTTGGCTGTTACACAATGTCTATACTATTTTCATTTTGATTTATTTTATTTGCCATAACATGACCTAAGTTCATTATATTACCTTGTTAGCTATTGGCCATTTTACTCCAGTGTGTCTTCTACAAAGCTTCAAATGCAATAAATGTCTTTATTGAAAACAAACTTTATTTCTCTATTTAAAGCCCCTTTTTAAACAATCCTGACCCTCTCATCCAGTTGTTAGTGTCCCATCTGCCCTCTCTCACTGTGGAGATTGATCAGATTCTCTCTCTCTCTCTCTTTCTCTCTCTCTCTCTCTCTCTCTCTCGCTCTCTCTCCCTCTCTCTCTCCCTCCCTCCCTCCCTCCCTCCCTCCTCCTACAGGCTCAGTTAATAGCCCAGTCCATTGGTCAGGCCTTCAGTGTGGCATATCAGGAGTTTCTGCGGGCGAACGGTATTGACCCTGAGGATCTGAGCCAGAGAGAGTACAGTGACCTGCTCAACACTCAGGATATGTACAACGATGACCTCATCCACTTCTCCAAGTCTGAGAACTGCAGAGATGTGAGCGCAATACAATATCATGGTCTAATATAATAAAATATAATACAATGGAAAATAATATAATATGCTCCATCACGCTGTTCTGCTTTACTTTGAAACTGCCCAACTTGCAGTGAATTGAAGATGGATGTCAGGTTTTAAATTACAGTGATAGAAATGTTAATAATAAGTTTAGAATGTTTCCCTTTTTATGCAGCTCAGATTGCTGTAGACAGTGTTTTCCAGTTTGTCGTCATGGACACAGTGGATAAACAGACAGTAGAAGGCATGTCAACTTTAAAGTACCTGGAACAGATTTTAGTTTATCTAGGAGCTGATGGGTTATAGAACTAGAAAAAATTAAAAAGTACTAAGAGCAAAGTATAATGAATTTTCTTTCATTTTTTCAAAAGCCAAAAAATGATAAATAATAGTAGCGAGAAACCGATATATAGACACATTGCAGTGATAAACAGGATTAAAATGAGGAATTTTACCGTTTGCTGTACCATATAGAGCTCAAGTTATTCTACTAATTTATAGGAATATTTTTTATCTGCGTAATCCTTATGATACTCACATAGTTATGGACTTGGTTAGAGACGGTTTTGTGAGAATGGCACATTGGTTGCCTAATGCATTTGGCTAGAGCTCACAACTCAGAATTTCTCGCCTCTGACCAGGAAAAACCTAAGAAAATGTTGTTTCAGAAACACCCTCAGTCAAAGGACATCTTTTGTTGGTTTTCTAAGTGAAATCATGCTAACATATCAAAGGAAAACTTAAATATACAATTTTTCTGCAAATTTTAGTGCAGTTTTTTTTTTTACTTTAACATATTGGAAAAAATGAAACAAAAATATTAAATGTGCCATAAATTTTGCTTTCAGTACAGTAATTGTGTGCAGTAGTGTGTTCTCTGTAGAGGGTTTATTAACTTATTTTCACTTCAGAAAATCAACAAAATATGTAACTTGACCAGGGGTTCGCAACGTTTAGCATATGACTGCACCATATCATTAATCAAGTTTTAACCTAAAATGAATCAAGTCCTTTTTATTGTGTATCACCTGCGTATAATCATGGACTATAATTCATTAACTAACTACTGTTATATGGGCTCTAATAGCTGATTCAGCTCATAATCCGGATGTTATAATTCACCAGTAACAATTGTGGTGTTTAATCAGGGAAATCATGAGACTAAACAGGCTTTAGGATTGTGGTGTAACCGTGTGTAACACCGTTTGTCAGCCCTGTCCTGAGGTTTTGTGTGTTCTAATGCTGTGGTTTCTAATCACAGAACCACACAGTTTAGCAATTTTTTCTGCTGTCGCACCACCTCCACTCTGGAATGGCTAATCAATTAGCTGATTAGTCAGAATCAGGTGTGTTGGAGCAGGAACAGCACAACAACCCTGTTCTCTACCATGTGTGTCTACAGGTGTACATAGAGAAACAGAAGGGGGAGATTCTTGGAGTGGTCATCGTGGAGTCTGGCTGGGGTTCCATCCTGCCCACTGTCATCATCGCTAGCCTAATGCATGCTGGGCCAGCAGCTAAATCAGGACGCCTCAACATCGGAGATCAGATCATGACGGTGAATGGCACCAGCCTGGTGGGCCTGCCACTGTCCACATGCCAGAGCATCATCAAAGTAAGGGTCATCTGCTGATCATGTCACTGCAATGTGGTATCCGTGTCAGGTCATGGATGTTATGTGCAGACAATAAATTAAAGCAGTAAGCCACGAGTGGCAGTGTGTTACAGTGATTTTAGCACGGGTGTTATTAGGCACGACCTGAAGCAGAGTAAACCCCCTTAGCCATGATAAAATTACTATAACATATGGCCTCAAGTGGGTTATTGGTTCTTGAAAACGCTGGATGACATAAAATATAATAAAATACAAAATTTTTAAATTATTTTTTCTTTAGTATTATTAATAATCGAACAATTATTCTACCAAGAAATGTAGTACTTTTACAGTATGTGATTGTTGTCACACAACAATTAAAAAAGACTGCCGAATAAGGAGAGAGAGCGTTCAGTCGGCCATCATTGCAGTTTTCAGTCTTCTTTAGCACCAAGCCAGTGATGTTGTACACTCCTTTTTTATATGCTGGGGCTGAATCTCAAATGGCTCCCTCCTTTCTACATAGTGCACTACATATAGTATATTAATAGTATACTATTTTAAGTATTAAAATCTTGGCTTCTGCACTCAAACAGTGCATAATAAATAAATATTTGGGATTCAGCTGTGTCCATACTGGATAAAAAGTGCACTATTTGGGTGTAGGAGCTGGAAGACACAGACATTTAAAGCATGTAAGCCATTCCAGTGACATGTTTTGTTTTTGTTGCGTTTGTACAGTGAATCAAATAGTAAGAAGATTAATTCAAAGCCTTTGATATTAGTGGAGGAATGGTGTAGCCTGTTAGCTCATCTGCCTAGTTCTAGTTAAGAAAATAAGTTGTCAGCCCTTCAGTTTAAACAAAACTGGGTTCTTACTTACATCAGTTCACTCAGTGATCCATACAAGCAGCATTAGAATTAAAGATTATTCCATTAACAGCACAAGGATTTCAGCACAGTTTACGGAAATTGTAGGTGTATATAAATCAAGTATTTTATAATGGCTCAGCCAATCAGATTTTAGGAATGAGACTGTTTTAAAATGTTTATTTTAAAATGTCCATTGTTTTATAGTTTTTCATAGTTCCAGTTTCATAATCTGAGTTGCTGTGATAAAATGCTTGATATTCAGCTAAATTATGTGTATGTGAAGTGAATTGATCGTTTGCAGAATTTAAAAAAAAGTCAGACCTCTTTTAATTACTGTTGCTGTGTCCATCAAACTAACAGTTCAGGCTACCTGGTGGCACTTGTGCTAACTGGCTTAGCAGCTAAGTAGTACAAAGGAAAATGTGAAAAACACAGAGAAGTTACATTTGAAGCATATTTAGAAAAAAAGGTCTTTACAGGATGTTTAGTGCAGACGTGTATGTTTGAGAACTGACAAAATAAAATTGTAGGCCAAGCTTTTAATAGTTTTGACATTGAGTGAATAAGGTCCAAAACCTTTCAGCTTCAGGAATTAAATAAATACAGCATCACCCTCCAGATGATCAGGATAGCATTTCTTAGTCTAATATCTTTACAGAAAATTCACATATATTTCACATCTCAAGTGGGCAAAACCACATCTCTTCACACGTAATAATGTGTGGTCAGATGAGACGTGATCACACATTTTTTCACATGATAACACGTGAAAAATAACAAAGTGTACAAAACCACATTTATTCACATGATACTTATGCAAGGGTAATTCTGGCTAATTACCTGCTACCAGCACATGCCTATTAAACATGTTGCCGTTTAATAAAAGCCATAAACAAGTCAAGGCTGTGCACTACAGAGACTTTACTATAACGTGATTAAAGGTTAAAGAGTGTTGTTAGGCCAAAGCAAAGCTGATGGCTTATTGTTTTATGATGTTCCAGGGACATGCTTATAAGTAGGTGCTGAATATTCCCCTGTTGGGCACCTCCAAGGTGATCATCGTATCTTGAATAAATTTATTTAAATGAATCTGCATACCTCCTCTTCAGGGGCTGAAGTCTCAATCCAGGATTAAAATGAACATTGTCCGGTGTCCTCCGGTCACCATGGTCCTCATCCGCAGACCCGACCTCCGCTACCAGCTTGGTTTCAGTGTGCAGAATGGCATTGTGGGTAACTTCTGGCCTGTCATGCTATATTGTGTTTATGGATTTGTTATTGTTTTCTTACCATTATAAATCACGTTAAGGATGTTTTGGCTTCTGCTTTAAGGCTATGTTTTGTTTACATTGAGTTTTTTCAAGTTCAAAGGAAAATGATCATTTTGTCTCATTTGAATTGTCCTGAAGTATTTATTTGTCAATGTTGTACTTATTAATAGGAGTTTCGCTACAAGCAAGAGCAGCTTAAACCAGACAAAGAAGTCACTTTCCATAGATAATTAGGTTATCTGTTGAAAGCAACTTTGTTAGGGTCACAGTTACAGTTAAAATTCGTACCATAGAGTTAAACTATCTTGGAATATAATTATAAGTTTATTTGAAAACAAGAAAGCTAATATATAATATATACTCACATTACATCCTAGTAAATAAAAAAGAAAATATACTTTAAATATTTATATACAAAATAAAGGATATTTAATTAGTGTAGTTTAAACTAGTTTATTGAAGTTCATGTTTTCTCTCCAATCCAGATTTGCAGTCTCATGAGAGGAGGTATAGCTGAGAGGGGTGGAGTCAGAGTGGGTCATCGCATCATCGAGATCAACGGCCAGAGTGTGGTGGCCACCCCTCATGAAAAGATTGTTCATATTCTGTCAAATGCAGTTGGAGAGGTATGGCAGAGCCAATGTTACAGACAATTACAGTTAGAAGTTTACAGGTATAAAATTAAAGGAATTTTATCAGCTTTTCAAAATTTCTGCATAATTCTATCATTAACAAGTAAACAGGAAATGGTGCTTTGTAGAGAAACTTGTGAACTCAGTTTTCTTTACAGTGGTGCTGATAGGAATCAGGGGCTATGATGCCAACAACCTAAAAGTAGACATTTTATTTATTAATAAAAATGACCAGTGAACCTACACACAGCTTGTGTTTTGTATGTTATGGTTAAATAGTGGTAATTCTGGAAAAAACTGTTTTGGGAACCGTTTTGCCTTAGAACACCCTGCAGGTACCCCTCTGCTTTAAATATATTGTAAAAAATACATTTCAGGCCAAAAATTGATCTCAAAACTATTGTAAGCACCAGGCAGTGAACTCATAATGCTTTTGAATAATGGCTTTCCATGAGGAAGCTTTTAGAGTCATTAAACTCTTCAGACGTCTGGTTCCTACCACCACCACACCACAGTTCCGACTCTGTAAATTTCTCTAGAATGGAGCATTTCACATTAAACCACTCTGTCTGACTGTTTACATCTCAACTATTTAAATATGCAGAAATTTTGTTCAATTCACTTGAATTCCCCTTGAATACAGGGTGTTTATACCACAGTGTGCTTTCTGTGCATTGTTAGGTGAAATTGCACAGGATTTATCACTTCAGATATTAATGAAACTTGAAAGTATTTTACCTTACTGGAGTGTATCTATATATATCTATATCTGTTCTCTTTCCAAATCAGCCTCCAAATCAGCGCAGCTCATTGTCAGAATCTCTGCCAAAACACTAACATCTTTAACACATCATGAAGGGCAGATGAGCAGTGGATAATCTAATTAATTTCACATGCACATTCTCAATCTTTCTCTCAGATCCATATGAAGACCATGCCTGCTGCCATGTACCGTCTGCTGACCGCGCAGGAGCAGCCTGTCTATATCTGAAAGACACTGACAGCGCAAATGCCAGGGCTACATTTCACTCACATCTGTTCATTTAAATGTGGAATATTTATGTGATTGTTTACATATTTATTACACTGGATGTAAATCTTTTTTTTCTCAGAGCATTTTGACCTGCCTTAATCTGTCTATCCTGATTGACAGCCGAACATGACCGTAAGGCTGGGCTTACACTGCATTATGTCTTTTAAGAAATAATCCATCATGTTTGCTCAAACATGCACTTTTTTCCAGTTTTCATAGGTTTTTGGCAAAATGTGCTTCTGAAGTAATATATGGTGCATTAATGACCTCCTATAAGCTTCCACAGGGCATAGAACTGTATCCAGTTTCAGGGTTAAAATGGTCTTGTTGTACCAAAAAGCAGAAACCAGTTCATTGTCATTATATCAGGTTACTGTTTGAATCAAGTAGTTTAATGTATTCACCAAAGATTTTTTGCATAAAGTGTTTTTTTCTCTAGCTTGTGTTCTTACCATAGTACGTTGAGTTGCCGGTGTAAAAGGTGATATATAGAACATACAGTCCACAACATGCAACCAAATTCAGGACAGTAAAAGAGCCCCATTCTGTTTTTAATCACCATAAAAGGGAACTGATAGTACAACCACTAGAGAACATTGCAACACTGCATTAGCAACTTTTAAAAAGTGGTTTTGTTGTTTTTATGCTCTGTGGAAGGCCATTTTGCACTGCATTTTACTTGTCTTAGAAACTCAGAAATCTGGAAAAGTAATTTTTCTACAAAAACAAGACATGTCTGGAATGGAAAGACAGCAAAGTGAAATCATGTAGTGTATACCCAGCAAGACAGTATGTGCTCACCACAGATTCATCCAACTGACGTCGGCTAAATGTGACATGTTCATCCAAGTACCAAAGACTGATATATGGGTAATATATTTGATCAAAACACTGGACCTATAATGAAGAGACTATTAGCATTGTAAATCAGTAACAGCTAGAAGATATTAGAGGTTATTGTTATGAGCACAGATGTAATTTATTGAAGAGCAAGATTGTTGTTAATGCTATTAATGAAAGTAAAAGGAAAACAGATACAGAATTTTTTTTTATTTATTTGTCTTTGAAAGTTAAAAACACGATTTCCAACATATCCACATTCACAGGGAGTCCAAAGCAGAGATCGTAAAGACATAGAAATAGTACGGACCTAATATCAATCATATCCAAATGCAAAAGTTGATATAAAAATGGTCTGTATTTTATGGAAATAAACATTGACATGACAAAATCTAGCTGTATCTCTTCCAAAAGCCTCAAATCAGAGAGCAAGTTTAAGGCAGTTGAAGTGTGTCATATGTTCATAGTATATCATCTCTTTTCATTCATACATGATGCACAGGTTTACAACACATAATTTGTGACCATTACTACTCTTTCATTCCAAAATCTATAAACTCTCACTAGAGGAAACAATACAGAAACTGCAGATGAATAAAATCATTTTCGAAAGACGTGTAACAAAATAGTCAATAGAGTCAGCACGCTACATGAAAATATACACCAAGTCTTTCTGTTTCATATAAAAATGGTACAAATATAAAAAGAGAAAAATAGATGATGTTCACTTTTAAGAGGGGAGCAGTACTGCCATGTGTGTTTCAAAAGAAATCCCACTGATTTCAGCATAATTAAGTGGTTTAGAAGTAAACATCTTCAATCAGCATGGTTTGGTGTGAAATGTGTTGTTCTGTACAAAGTTACTGAGTCTGAATTGTTCACAGTGGGGGTGATAGGAAGCAGACTTTTAATGCCTCGAAAAGCTCCCTCACAGAAAAACTCAGACGATGTGTAGATTCACTGACTATTTCTGATAGTAAACAACATGGCTGAATTTGTATTGCAGACATCATGGCTTCTGGTTCCCATCACCACCACTGTAAGGAAACCCAGTCAGCAAGTTTCTCTGCAATGGACCATTTCACATCAGACAACTCTGAATGACTTTGTTTACATCTCAATGAGTCAAACAGGCAGAACTTTTGAAAAATTGGTGGGATTCCCCTTTCTTTTCAACACTAGAACTCCACATTCCCTGACATACTGTTTCTTTTTAAATATGTGCTTTAATAAAAGCCCTTGATACACTGAGGGAGGTGAAAACTGTTCTCATGAACAGACAGGGCCTTTTTCAGAACAGAGCAATGATCCATCCCACAACACGCTCAGGGTCCACATTAATAAAGGCCAGAGCACACTGACCCAACACTCTCCAACAAGAACCGAACTTCAAATGCTTTAGAACGTTCTGGAAGAAGAACTGGTAAGTCAAATGAATCAGAGTGAATAGGGAAGAACGTTCTACAGTCTCCAATAGACCTCTGAAGTCGTGTCATCATGCTCATATTCCGAGCTCTGAGTCTGAACGGTGCTTTTGACAGTCACTTCGGAAGAGCCCTGTGGTGAACTAAAACATTCCAAACCAGATACATTTTGCCATTCAGATCCCTTAAATTGCAAGGCTGTTAAGGAGCTGAAATATAAATATTGCTGCATGAAAGCTGACATCACAAGACTGGTGACCTCTCCAACATACCAAACACAAACCAGCTCTGCCCAGTATGGTAGGTAAGTTTCTTTGGCAGCAGTAGCCAATTTTGAGAGTAAACTTACTTTCATGCAACATCATTTCAAGGTCTAGGAGCGTTAGCTTGACTTTAGCATGAATGTACCAATATTCATATTTCCACTGCTTAATGACACACAGGTGTAGCACGCCAAATAAACATCTGTTGGAGAACACTGGGTCAGTTTGTCATGGCCAAATCCATGCCCCACCCACAAATTCTTTCATAGCAACTGCTGCAAGGTCGGACAAGCCTTACTGCATTTCGACAAAAATCCAAATGAATTTAGGTTACAGTTTAAATTCACTGAGTTTCCCGTTAAAAATGCAGCTAATCGAAACCAGGTGGAATGGAATGATGACAAATTCGCCACCATGCTAATATTTTACATGACAGAAAAACCATCTGATCCATCCTAACATTATGACCTTTTACATGCATATAAAAAAACATACTTTGAAATTAATACCGAATTTGTATTTTGACAAAACTGACTGCGCTACAGGCTGAATGAATTTTGTCATAATTCAGTAGAGTTTGCCCAACCTTGAAACAGCTGCTATGAAAGACTGGATTTATGGTCAAGCATGGGAAAGTCGGTTCATAGGCATGGAATCTGCAGGGAGATTTTGTCCTACAGTTCTGTGTCATTGTATTTCTGGGGGTTGTAGTAGCCTCGGCGAGTTTGGTCAGCGAGCTGACGGCGATACTCTTCCTCATCATCATCAGCAGCAGAGCGGTAAGGTCCACGGCCCTCCGAGTAGGACGGTTTGGATGATGAGCTGTGGGACTCGGAGTTGGAGCTGGAACTGAAAAATATAAGAGGTGTGAGAAACTGACAGCCGAGCAAAGACACTACTTTAAAATTCATAATGATTAATTTGTGAGTACATATGTTGTATTAATACTAAGCATATAATGTAATAAGATTTAACTCACCCAATAGGCTGTGGTCTGTTTTGATTGGGCTTTGGTTTCACAGGGACTGCATAAATGTCTGGATGCTTCTGAGAGATTTCCAGCTGCAGATAGAAGATGACTGCATCAAGGGTGCAAATCTCTGACCTCATAATTCAAATCAATTCTGATTTTTTTATGAAACAAATCAGTGCATTACAAAATCTCAAATTTTAGTACAATTCGATTCGGAGTCATTTTTAAAAATATACTGATTACATTAACTGTGCATTTGAAGCAAAATGTCATATTTAAGTGTGTTTACTGTAGAGGACGTGTTAATTTATTTTCACTTAGAAATAAAATTATAGTTTTGCATGCCACTATATGCCCCTGAAGGGGGCTTGAGTGATTGGATGTCAATGCATCGGACTGCGTGAGCACTTGTACTCAGTGCTATCCTCTCATGATCAGATCACTCAAGACCCGAGAAAGTGAGAGCAAGAGAGAGAGACGAACCCGTGCATGCTCAGCCTCCTGCAGCTCCAACATCCTCTGTGCTCGGGCCAGGTGGTCCATCTGCTCAAAAGCCTTTACCTTTCCCATGAACGAGCGTTTAGCTGGATCATCTGCCTCTGAGATGGGTTCCTGAGGCAGGGCAGGTCGGCCAGAGAAGCTGGGCTTCAGGGCCACGGGCGGCGGAGGAGGTTTAGAGCTGATGGGAGCGTCGCTGCTCACTGTGCTGCTGGAGTGAGAGTCAAAACTTCTAGTGTCACTGCTGCGGGTTTGAGACCTGACCTGGAAGAATCATGGAAGGTTTTTAGTGCTGTTGGAAGAGACTACAAGGCTAATAGCAAACAAAGTATTGGAAGCTGAGTACTGAACTAATGGGTAAAGGAATAAAAAAAAAAGGTATAAGGGAGGGTGGGGTTACCTTGGGGGGTTCTGGGACAAAGGAAGGAGGGGGACTGGGGTCTCGCAGCACCTCTTTGCTGCCAGCCCGTTTCATACGGGGCACAGGGGCGGGTTTCTGCAAAGAGAGATGGCAGGAGTGAGGAGGGTCAGGAGGCCAATCCACACTTACAAACAACAGCAAGTCAAAAGTGATGCAATTTAAAATGAAGTCGTTCTATTTGTACAACACAGGCTACAACAAGCTTTTTTGTGCCTAATAAAGTTTCTCTCAGTGGTTTTAGTTACATTTTATTAGACCTGAGGCCTGTCTCACGAATTAAGATTTCTTGCTTAGCCAGATAACTTTAAGCTTTGTTTAATCTAAATCAACCCTGGAATTTCTTTCTCACAACAGTGGATCTTTTTACCTAGCTACATCACCATGGCAACTTCTCCACACTTAACCTGCTCCGGGGCAGATGAAGTTAAGGATTAGGGATCATAAACAGCTCTTGGATGAATCAGAGACAGACTTCTGATGGAAGTGAACCCCTCTGGTCTTTTTCATATTTTTTTCTTTTTTCTTTGTGATGTTTGTGGCATCAGCCATGTGAAAAATATCTTTTTAGCAGAGAAAGCAAATCATACTATATAGATATCAAGAATATAAAGCAGTTTCTACTCCAGTAAGCACTAACACAGTGGAAATGACTT